CATGCCTGTAATCCCATCACTTTGGGAGGCTGAGGCAGGTGGATCCCTTGAGCCCCAGATGTTTGAGACCAGCCTGAGAAACAGCAAAACCTCGTCCCTACATAAAATTAGCTGGGCATGGTGGCGCATATGTATAGTTCCAGCTACTTGGGAGGCCGAGGTGGGAGGATCACCTCAGCGCAGGAAGTTGAGGCTACAGTGAGCCATGATTGCACCACTGCGCTCCAGAGAGGGAGAAAAAAGACCTCCTCCAGAGCGAGACATGTAACACATGAGGCTCTCAAATAACTGTGTCTTGCATAAAGTAGACAAGTCATAAAGTATTTGTTTTAAAAATGCCTACCATTGTACTTCACCTTGATCTAATCTTTTTTCTCATCAACTAGACAAGAATTTGGCAAACTTCTGTGAAGGGTCAAATATTTTAGGCCTTGCAAACTATAAACTGTCTCTGCGGCATATTCTTCTGCTTGTGTTTTCTAACAATCCCTTTAAAATGTAAAAGCTACCCTAGGGCAGGGCGCGGTGTCCCACGCCTATAATCCCAGCACTTTGGGAGGCCTAGGTGGTGGATTGCTTGAGGCCAGGAGTTCAAGATCAGCCTGGGTAACATGGTGAAACCCCATCTCTACTAAAAATACAAAAATTAGCCGGGCGTGGTGGCGCGTGCCTGTAGTCCCAGCTACTCGGGAGGCTGAGGCAGAAGAATCGCTTGAACTCAGGTGGCGGAGGCTGCAGTGAGCCAAGATCACACTACTGCACTCCAGCCTGGGCGACAGTGAGACGCTGTTTAAAAAAAAAAGCTATCGTTAGCTCAAGGCCCTATAAAAACAGGCTGACATGGGATTTGGCCCGCAGGCTGTAGTTTTCCAATTTCTGTGCTATGTCACTGTAAGTATCTTAAGGTCAACTCTGAGTTATGTACTTATATCCCCTAATACCTTGCATAGTACTGAGCATGCAGTAGGTTTTTAGTAAACTCAGAACTCAGTTAAGTTGGAGGTAGAGGAAAACAAGAGAAAAAAGTGGTCAAATTTGGTCTAACAGGAATTTTACCAGGGAGACAAGGCCTACAGTCCAGGCTGAATGACTCAAAGGGTCATTTACCAAAGATGTATAGGTAATGGAAAAAGACAGCTTGTCATACAGTCACAAATCTCAACACTCAATTGTCTCCCCTTCCAAGTATCAACTCTAGTCCCGTAGACAGCTGCCTCGTGTGTCTACTTACAGTGCAGCTGACTGGGACCCACGAAAAAAAAGCATGTAGTTTTTCCCCAGAGCATTTTTTTTGTTCTGTTACTTCACCTTGCTATCTGGTTCTCTTCCCATGCTGCATTCTGAAAAGCTACTAGTGGATCAGGCGCGGTGGCTCATGCCTGTAATCCCAGCACTTTGGGAGGCCGAGGCAGGTGGATCATCTGAGGTTAGGAGTTTGAGACCATCCTGGCCAACATGGAGAAACCCTGTCTCTACTAAAATTACAAAATTAGCCAGGCTTGGTGGCGCATGCCTGTAATCACAGCTACTCGGGAGGCTGAGGCAGGAGAATCGCTTGAACCCGGGAGGCGGAGGTTGCAGTGAGCCGAGATCCCGCCATTCCACTCCAGCCTGGGCAACAAGAGCAAAACTCCGTCTCAAAAAAAAAAAAAAAAAGAAAATACACAAAAGCTACTAGCTTAAAGGTAACATCTACCTCCCGAGGTAAGCATAATTTAGCAAATATGGAACTGCCTATATAACTGCTATGAAAAATTCTTAGATGATGGCCAGGAAAGTTTCCTAAAAATAGTTTCTGGATGGGAGCAAGTTTCTGATCCTGCTACAGTTCCAAGATTTGAGACATGCTGAAAATGAATGATGTAAGGAAGGAATAAGTGGATGGAAATGCTCCATGGACACCGTCATGGCCACAGTCCCCATTCCTGGAACTGCCAGAATGCTAGGATGTTGCCGTACCTCCTGAGAGATCCCAGAATCTGTGCAATGCTTTTCCTTAAGGCAATCTGCTTTTTCAAACTCTGGCAAAGTCTGAGGTCAGAGCTGTCTGTCTCAAGAGAAGTGCCTCTTTCCTCTAGCATCCAAAATGTGCATAATTATTGCCAGGAGCTGTCCTATCATTAGCAATCTTCCTGGGCCTGGGGAGAAGAGGGAGGAAGGGGAGAACAGAGATGATATTTCATGTCCTGCTGGGTCTTCAACCTCCATGAAGTGGTAGAGGCAGCCACAGGGGAATGGCTCTATTTCCAGGCACTTCCTTCCTCCTTTTCACCTCTTGAGATCTCAGAATAATTCACTGCAATGTTCTTTGTTAAGTCTCTGCCACCTCATATTCCCCTCCCCATCTTCATGGAAGGGAAAAAAAGGAACAAGTGGTCCCTTGGGCATTGTAACCAAGCCAGCAGATGCTTCCAAAGGAAGGTAAGTGTCAGATGTTTAACTGCATGACTAAGTAAAACACATTATCTAACCAAGCTTCACTCTGAGGTAGCAGGTCCTATATTTTAGATAAGAAAAAAGGAAATGGGTGAAAATAATTTATTTAAAGACAGGCTGCGAGTGAGTGATGGAGCAGGAAACAGCATCAAAGTTCTTTGATTCACAGGCAGGGTCTTATCTGCCAGAAGAGTCAAGAGTGTGGCAGTGATGCTAGGAGACAGGGACCAAACAGCCGGGGGAGAACAGGAATAAGAGCCCCAGGAAACACTTTGGAAAAAGTCAATTAAACAATTCCCAAGGTTCCAGGTAGCTGTTCTAATGAGTGCCTGGGGGGTCTATGTTTCTGAAGAAGGTAATTCAAAATGAAATGAAAAGATGACTTTGGGACTCAATTCTGCACGTCTGATTTGGAAAAGCTAAGATAGAAAGGCGGAGAAGGAGCTGTAAGAAATACTGAACACATGGTACCAAGGAGAAAATACGCTGTGGGGAATAGACCTTCAAAAGCAATAGCAATAGCTACAATACTGAATGTACTGACAAAAGAGTTGGCAGAAGCTGAGAGGTGAATGTTCTTTTATCCCTGACCATCATTGCAAGTGACAATTTCTTCTTGCTAGCAACCACTAGAATAGTCATCTTTGAGCTGCATGTGGAAAACATAGGTTATAACTGAGCAATGCCATGAAATATATTTTTCCCCTTATTCTGATATGATCTGACATCAACAGAAAGTAGAACAACGGCTAGGAGACCAAAGATTCAGGAAAAAGACTTGGGCTGTTATGTCACTTTGAGATGAAGGAACTGATTGAAGCATTCATCTTAGTGTTTGCAACTGTCCTGCTGTGATGGAGTTGTCCACAGCCACTCAGGAGGCATGAGACCGTCACCACCATCATTTGAGGTAAGGCCCAGGTCCCTCTTGAGCTGAGTTAGGATAATCACACCAGACAACTTTCCCAAGTCACAAGAGATATTAGTAAATTAAGGAAGCAATCAAGATCTGCCGCCGGGTCATCAGGTTAGAGAAAGAATCACTGGGACCAACGTGGTAAGGTAAAGTGAATACAGCAAATAGGAAGTGAGATTTCACAAAGGAATTAAGCCTCAGAATGCCAAACCAAAGCACGGATATATAAGGTCAGAATCAAAAGTGGTGGCTGCAGTACCAGTGTTCAGCTCAGATTAGCAGGGCCATCGAAGACTGAGCAAAGAGGAGACTGCCAGGAGGCCTTGATTGTGGGGCTTCCTCCTGACCTGGCTCCACATTGTAGGTTATGGTGGTGACAAGGTGCATGACAGCTTGAAAAGTGGTGGTTGTTGGGCAACACCTAAAGGCAGAGGGGCCCATCTCCTTAAAACTGTGGCCTGCGCTCCATGATCTCCATGTGAATTTTACCAAGATAAGGTTTTACTTAGAAGTTTTCTTCTTCCTGCCACTATGGATGCTTTATTGGTTTCTTCCCTTACTATCTATTGGTGTGCAATCAGGTAGAAAAATGAACTGAAGAACTATTTTAACCGAAGCAAATCACAACGAAGAAGGTAAATCTGCTGCAGAAGGAAAATCCCTTGAAGTCTGTATCTTTATACTGTCTGATGCCTTTGGCTAAATATAGCCGAAGTTATTCCTCCTGCAGTAGTTTATTGAGGCATAGGGTCAGTTCTAAAAGCCATGGGTTTGAGTGAAGTCAATTCAAACCCACTGCTTTTCTCTAACTCGAGCTGGGAAAGCTGGCTCCTTTGCCTTGGCCTGAAGACTGAACGTTGTACATACCAAATTACTACAGAATGAAGGTCTCAGTTAACTTGAAACTTGAACCTGACTCCATGGGTCACTGGTTCTCACGTAATTAGGAAACAAAAAGACTCTAAATTATCTATCAAGAGAAAGCTGGGTCGATGCTTACGGACTGACGGATTACTCTGTGACAACAACCATTAAGTATGCCTACTATGCAGAAGAACATGAAGAAATGATGTTGGGGATACATGAAAGCATTGCCCCATCTTTAAGTTATGTATTACATTTTATCAAAGTTGCAGACTTTTCACTGAATGAGGATGATAACCAAATGGTCACAGCAGGTATGTTTCTAATAATCCCAAAAGTCCTGAGGCCTGATACTGAAAACACAATGTGAAACAGAAATCTGTTTAGGGTAGGGTTTCTCTAGCTTGGCAATACTGACATTTTGCATTCAATAATTTTTTTTTTTTTTTTTTTTGTGAGGGGCTGTCCTGTGCGTTGTAGAATGTTTAGCTGCATCGCTGACCTCCACCCATTAGATGCCAGTAGCAAATCCCCACCCCCTCAGTCATAACAATCAAAAATGTCTCCAGGCATTGCTAAACATCCCCTGAGGTGCAAAATCACTCCAGTGGTTGAGAACCACTGGTCTAGAGATACTTTCTCTTTAATATCCCACAATAAATATATATACGCTACCGTAAAAGGAACTGAGACAGGACACAAAAGGTTCTAGCACTGATTATTACACGTGGTTTCGGACATTTAAAAATGTATGCTGACATGCTGACAGCAAAAGTATACTCACTGTGTACAAGAAAACAAAAATCTTTCCACATCAGCAGCAGAGTGAGTTTTGTAAAGCCTTCTGCATCATATTCCACGACACCTCTGAGTAATAAAAACATACACACACACACAAAAAAAACCCTCATAAAAATAAGGTAGAAAAGCAATAAAACCAAGTAAAGAATATATTCGTGAAGTCTGGGTTATTGACTCTGAGACGGGTTTAAGGCAAGTGAGGATTAAAGCAGGAACGGTCTGGGGTTTGGAACGACAGTATCTAGGTTTAAGTCACAGCTTTGCCACTGACTATCTACTATGACCTCAGGCAAATCACTTAACCTTTGCAGCCTTAGTTTCCTTACCAGAAAATCAAGCATAAAAATATTTGCAAAATTCATTACAGGGTTGTGAAAAACAAATAAGATAAATCATAAAATACTACACAAATGTTAGTTATTACATTAATTATGAGTAGAAGGACATATTAAGAAATCAAGTCAGCAATGACACTATAATCCCAAATGTCAGCATACTACCTGTACAGTGATTGTTAAGTCTGACTTCCACTGGGCACTACACAGTAATATGCGATGACAGTATTAGTAAATTTAGTATTATATATTACTTTTCTTCTTGAGCTGGGTTAGGGTAATCACCCCAGACAACTGTGTCCCCTTTCACTGTGTTCCCCTGTCCTCCCCACTGGGCTCAAGGCAAAATAGCAACATTAGATGGGTGAATGCTGGGTTCAGGAAGGGAGACGCATATTTCATGTGTCAAAAGAGAACATCCCCTGACCTCTGAAGGGGCCAGGAGCAATTCTGTAGGCTCACCTCATCCATTTCCCTCAAGAGCTGAGCACCTGGAGGATGTCGCCATAATAGGACAATACTAACCACGCTAAGGACAGATATAATTTTCTTTCTCATCCATACAAGGAGGACTCTGATGTCCTTAGAGATGCGATATCCCTGACCAAACCCGGCCAATCAGATCACTGATACTGATGCCCTCCCAGTTTAAGTTGGAAGGAACAGTTAACACTCCTTGTAAAGGTAAAAGAACTAAGACACTGAAGGGTAAGTGATCTGCTAAAAAATGGTTGGTATATCATTCCGATCTTAAGTTGATAATTCTTTAGTTTATATTTCTCTCTATGAATTTATTTATTTTTGAGACACAGTCTCAACCTATTGCCCAGGCTGGAGTGCAGTGCTGCAATCTTGGCTCACTGCAACATCCGCCTGCCAGGTTCAGGTAATTCTCCTGCCTTAGCCTCCTGAATAGCTGGGATTACAGGCGCCTGCCACTATGACTGGCTAATTTTTTTTTAATTTTTTAATTTTTTTGAGACAGAGTCTAGCTCTGTTGTCCAGGCTGGAGTGCAGTGGCATGATCTCGGCTCACTGCAACCTCCATCTCCCAGGTTCAAGTGATTCTCCTGCCTCAGCCTCCCAAGTAGCTGGGATTACAGGCGCCCGCCACCACGCCCAGCTAATTTTTGCATTTTCAGTAGAGATGGGGTTTCACTGTGTTGGCCAGGCTGGTCTCAAACTCCTGACCTCATGATCCACCCACCTCGGCCTCCCAAAGTGCTGGGATTAGAAGCGTGAGCCACCGCGCCCAGGCTAATTTTTGTATTTTTTAGTAGAGACATGGTTTTGTCATGTTGGCCAGGCTAGTCTCGAACTCCTGACCTCAGGTGATCCACCCACCTTGGCCTCCCAAAGTGCTGGGATTACAGGCGTGAGCCACTGTGCCTGGCCTCTCTATGAATTTATAATTAGCCCAATAATGTTATAGTGCTGATAATCAATACTTTTCAGATCCTGCATCCCATAGGCAAAGACAAGTATGTAATCCATTTTAGTATATTACTGCACTACATGCATAATAAAATATACAGAAAAAAGTATATTTAAAAAGTGAGATTTGAAAGCAAATGTAAATGTAGTTTTCATATTTTTCTTGTACTCCAATAGAGTGAGCTGTGTAACTTCTGCAGTGTGTGTACTCCATTCTGGAGGCCACTGTGCCAGCTTCTTCATGTTCAATTATATATACTGAAGAAAATCTCACTTAAAAATAAGAAGATCAATGGTATTATTTATTAACCACTATTTGTATCAAAAGTACTTTCTCAAAATGTTCACAAACAAAGCTGAAAAAAATCGTAAGTATTAAAGACTCATGTGAGAGACATCATACTGTTTGGTTATTGACACTTCTATTTTGGAGAAACAAAAAATTCCATTATGGGAATGAGAAAAATGTCTTAAAATTGGTTTGAGGAGTCAGAAATTTTCTTATATCCCAGAGGGTGACAAATCATTTTCTTGGTTTCATCTTCTCTTCCCTATTCCTAATTTCCTTTTATCCTAATTTCCTTATTTAAAAATTTAATTTTGTATTACTAGATATATTTATATATTTATAAGCCTTCTGTGGAATAAGGTGGGCTATCATCAGACCTCTAAAACCCTTATTGCCTAGTTACCCACAATGGGTAGAATGTTCCACCTTCTAAAGATCGTGAGGAAAACCCATTCCCTGTCCCACTGAGCAAAGCTCAAGGAGAAGCTTGATCAGGCCTCTGACTTACTTAAGGAAACAGGGCTGCAGGGCAGCATGGCCACAGGCAGCCAGAAGGAAAGGGCAAAGGCACAGGGATGGAGCAGCCAGAGGCGCCCATGGTATCACAGGCTTCCTTCTCCCCTCTCGGTGCTTGCTTTCAACTCCTAACCTCGAGTGCGAGCCACAGCTTTTGCATCGAATGCTGGATTTCCTCCCCAGATCTGTGTGGCACTGTTGGCAGTGGAGTCCTATCAGGAGGCCTGAGTCCTGGGGAAATGGGGTTCCTGCCCTGGCTCCACTTCTTCTAGGGGTGTGACTTCCACTGGGTTACTGAACTTACCACAGTTTCAGAGCTTCTTCCACTAAATGTGTCAGTGATGCCTGCCTGGTTCACCCCATGGCTACTATGAGGGCACGGAGGTAAAAAGTGCTATGCCAATTGTAGAGAGTTCTACAACAAGTGACTGTCACCACCATTACTACTGTTGTGTTCAGGGCTGTCCAGGCTGCTGCTCTAGGGAAGATATCTGATTCTACTATTTGCCAAAGAATACCGAAGGGGCAAAAAAAAAAAAAAAAAAAAAAAAGGGATCCTGGGAGCTTTGGTATGAACAGCATACCAAAAAGGATCAAAGTAGCATTAAAAAGGTATCATGTGAGGCCGGGTGTGGTGGCTCACGCCTGTAATCCCAGCACTTTGGGAGGCTGAGGTAGGCGGATCACGAGGTCAGGAATTTGAGACCAGTCTGGACAACATGGTGAAACCCCATCTCTACTAAAAATACAAAAATTAGCCAGTGTGGTGGACCATGCCTATAATCCCAGCTACTCAGGAGACTGAGGCAGGAGAATCGCTTGAACTCGGGAAGTAGAGGTTGCAGTGAGCCAAGATCATGTCATTACATTCCAGCCTGGGTGACAGAGCGAGACTCTGTCTCAAAAAAAAAAAAAAGTATCATGTGTAAGAAGTAATTGCTATTTTGTCAATCAAGTCCCATGTTGAGGTCATCAGCAAGCGAGGGCATCACTGGTATATCGTTCAAACAGAGCAGAACTTACGTGCCAAAGTGACTGAGGAAAGCAGCAATATACTCTCTTCTTTTGTGATACCCTTGAATCACGTACTGCACCTGGAATAGAAACCCAAAGCTGAGAAGTAGAGTGGGAAGCTTTTAAACGCTTTATTATAAGAAATTACAAAGATTCAGAGAAGCAGAAAGAATAGTAAAGTGAACACCGGTATTCCCACTACCTACATTCAACAGCTATGACTACTGTGCCTACTTGCTTCCTCCAGCCATCCATCTGCCTATCAACCTATCAATCAACACTTCAAAGCAAATGAGAGACATCATGACAGTTCACTCCTAAATATTTCAGTATGCATCTCTAAAAAATAAAACTTTCTTCTACATAACCACAATACCATTATCGTACCCAACAAATTGAGCCATCAGTCTCTGAATTCATCTAGTACCCTGTCCATTTTCAAAATTTCCTAATTGTCCCCAAAATGTTTATTTTTATTTTTTTAATTCAAAAGAATTAAAATAAATTAATTTTTTTTTTTTTTGAGACAGAGTCTCGCTCTTGTTGCCCAGGCTGGAGTGCAATGGCACAATGTCAGCTCACTGCAACCTCTACTTCCTGGGTTCAAGTGATTCTCCTCCTTCAGCCTCCCAAGTAGCTGGGATTATAGGAGTACGCCACTATGCCCTGCTAATTTTTGTATTTTTAGTAGAGACGAGTTTTCATCACGTTGTGCAGGCTAGTCTTGAACTCTTGACTTCAGATGATCAGCCTGCCTCGGCCTCCCAAAATGCTAGGATTACAGGTGTGAGCCATTGAGTCTGGCTCAAAATGTTTTTTAAAAAGCAATGTATGATTAAGGATCAGGCATTTGTTTTTAATGCCTTTTAAGTTTCTAAATCTATAATAAATAGTACCTCCTTGAGTGTGTGTATGTGTGTGTGCCTGCATGCACATATATGACACTGATTTTTCAAATAAATTGGGCTATATCCAGATGCGGAATCTCACGCATGTAATCCCAGTACTTTGGGAGTCTGAGGCAGGAGGATTACTTGAGGCCAGGAATTCAGGACCAGCCTCAGCAACACAGCCAGACCTCATCTCAACAAAAAATAAAAGAAATTAGCTGGATATGGTGATATGCACCTATAGCCCTAGCTACTCAGGAGGCTGAGGCAGGAGGAATGCTTGAGCTCAGGAGTTCAAGGCTGCATTGAGCTTAGATGGCACCACTGCACCCCAGCCTGGGCCACCTCATCTCTTTTAAAAGAGCAAGACCTTATCTCTTTAAAAAAAAAAAAAAAAAAGAGAGAGAAAAAAGAAAAGAAATTGGGCTAGTAGTCTTATAGAATGTCTCAATTCTGTTTTCTTCCTTTTTCCTTTACTCTCTGTATTTCCAATAAATTAGAAATTAGAGCTAAAGGGTGATTAGGTCCAGTTTGAACATTTTTGGCAAGAAAACTTCCCAGATGATACTGGGCCTGATCACTTGGCTGAGGTGATGATAGCCAGACCACTCCACTGGAAGGGAATGTTCCCTCTGCCACAGTGAACAGTCTATGGACCTACCCTCTGAAGCGTGGGAAGACCTCGTTTCCCATCAACCTTTCACCTAATGGCTTTAGTATTTATTGGAGATCCTTGTCTGAATCAATGATTTCATTAGGGACTGTAAAATGATGATTTTTGAATCCCATCATTCCTTTTGCATATATCAGCTGACATTCTCTGTAAAGAGCTTTCTCTCATCAAATGGGGTTATTTGGTTATCTTGAGCTCCTATTAAAAAAGGCAGAATAATGCTTCTCTAGTTTTAAAATTCTAATATCAGAATAAGGAGTATTACAATAGGAGATTTTATTTCACTTTGCCTTTTTATATTTCCTCATTATCACCCAATGACAGTTTCTATAAAAAAATTGTGCACTCATTAAGCTAGGCATCTGAAAGTTAGTCATTTGCCCACCAGCTTCTAACACGAAAACACATTCCTTATAATGTTCTCATGATGGCTGGAAGAAATGGTGGGAAGGAGAGACCCCCAAAATTGTTTATATTGGCTATAGCCACACTGAGTTTCCACGGCTAACAAAAGCTCAAGATAAAGTGCTTGAAATAACCTTGACACAATTGGTACTGATAGCCATGTTGTACCCTTTAAATGTAAAACAATTCTATTTATATAATAGGGGTTTATGTCAATTTATAAAAACAGTGCTTACTTTGCAGGCTTAACGCAGGATCAGAAATGTTATTTTGGGAAAAGAAAAGCAGATGATAAGTTTGCTTAAGTGGCTTTGTTTAAAAAGGGGATGAAAACAGTTCTGTATACTTGATTTTAAAAACAGAAAACCATTTTAACAGAAACCCACAACAAAACTGGCTATAAAGATAGATTCCAATATAATTATGGAAATTCATTTGAAGAGATTGTTTCTAAAAGCAGCCCATACTGTCCTCATTTGTAGCAAACAGAAGAACACCAATTTCAAAAGACAAGTAAAATTAATGAAAGAAACCAGATAAGAAAAATTGACTGATTCTTATATTTCTGGGAAAACGGTGTTATAATTTTTTTGAGGAAAATGTATGACTAGAAATTAATCTCAATTGGAGAGCTTTAAAAAGGCTTTTCTTCTCCCTTCTAGAAGACCAAATTTGCATTTTTCTCTATAATTCTGGGACACAGATTTGAAGGCAGTGCAAAGCCCCAGAATGTAAATAAGAATTCTGTCCTCCAATCAGTTTTGCAGGAGGGCAAGAGGCTGGGGAAATTTGGTCTGATGAGAAGCAACCCCTGCATGAGGGTTAAAGCCTGGAGTCTGTGCCTGGCCCACAGACGGCGGAGTTGCTAGATTTTAGTTTCTCTGATATTTGAAAAATAATACTGAAGCTCTTGAAAGATTATTGTACCTTTAAACTATTTTCTATATAGAAGTGAGCTATCTTTTGAGTGAAAGAGACAAACAAAAGATCTACTTTTCCAAGCCAATGTGAACAAGTCAACAGGAGCAAAGAAAACTGCACTCTGGCAACTAAACAAACTGAGTCACAGTCTATGTGGGAGAAGAAAGAGAGTCAGCATTGCTTGTGCATCAGTATCGCTAGTTTTCAGCTAAATATACTAGCTGGACATTAACAAGTATATTCTTATACTTTTTGGAAACATCTAACAATAACCATTAGACTCAGCTACTTGCTAATGTAATGGCTTATTCATGTAGCTAAGAGAAGCTTTAGGTCATCTGACTGAGTGTAAGACCAGCTGACTGGCTGGGCGCGGTGGCTCACACTTGTAATCCCAGCACTCTGGGAGGCTGAGGTAGGCAGATCACCTGAGGTCAGGAGTTCGAGACCAGCCTGGCCAACAGGGTGAACCCTCATCTCTACTAAAAATACAAAAATTAGCCAGGCGTGGTGGAGGGTGCCTGTCATCCTAGCTACTCAGGAGGCTGAGGCAGGAGAATGGCTTGAACCTGGGAGGCGGAGATTGAGGTGAGCCGAGATCGCGCCACTACATTCCAGCCTGGGCTACAGAGTGAGACTCCGTCTCAAAAAAAAAAAAAAAAAAAAAAAAAAAAAAGACCAGCTGACTTGGGAATCTTGCCCCTAGGCAAAGGACACTAGTGAACTGCTCCCAGGTATGACGAGAAGAATCAAAGGCTGACTATTAAAAAGTAAAGTACAGAAATGCAGAGAAAGATGAAGGCAGTTTTAAACAATTACTCTGATATCAACTACTGCCAAGCACAAGCACAAGCACACACGCATGCATGCTCTGGATAATTGGGAAGCAATGGGGTTCCAAAGTTTTAAAGTTTAAGAAGGTGCAAGAACTGGCAAAAACTGGGTAAAGGAAATTCAAGAAAGACGTGACTTAAATCCCAGACACAAAGTTAAGAGATGAAGATAAGACTGGAACAGGGGGTCAGAATCCTTAGAAAAGGAAGAAGGAGGGCAAAGAAATAGAGAGAGAAACAGATTAACTGTAATTCACAGTAGGAAGGGCAGGTGTCTATACAGAGGCTGAAACTGAGCAGACGGTCTGAGAAGGATGGAGCATGCACGATGATTCTGGGTACGTGGTGGACTGGAGGAAGAAATCTCACAAGAGGGATGAGTTGGGGACTTGCTTTTACCTTGTTGGTGAGCAGGTGGCATACTTGAGGAACGTAATCAATGAGACATCCTCCTCCTGGGAAAGCTGGGATATGAAGAGCTGAGGAGCCTCCAAGTGCACTGAAAGGACAAGAGTACAATGGACACTTCTCTTAGGGCTTAAGCAACTTAAGAAGTGTTACCCCCAAGCAGACTCGGCTTCTCTCATCAAAGTCTGGCTACCGACTGCCTAGGTTAATGACGATGGGTACATGGGCTTCACTTTATGATTACATTTCTGCATTTTAATTCATTTTAATAAACTAGCATGTTTGCATTATACATCATTGATAACATGCAACAGTACAAATTAGAAAATTTTGATTGGCATGGGATGGGTAAATGTCTTACCAACACCAATGGGCTGCAGGTATTACTGAAACATACACTTTCATACTCTTCATTATGCCCAATTCTTTGCTGGGCACAGGTAAGTTATTCATTAAACACTGAAACTGAACTAAAATGAATTGCTGCAACACTGTAACAGAGTTCTAAAGAGACTAATTCTACAGCTTATCGGCCATTATCTTGTATTTCAAAAGGTATACAAGAAGGTGCAGTCAATAATCACTGATCCAAGTAGTAAGATACAATGTTGATTCAGAAATAATTTCCAGATCTTTCAGAAATTCCTTTTTTCTGGCCGGGCGCAGTGGCTCACAACTGTAATCCCAGCACTTTAGGAGGCTGAGGTGGGGGGATCACCTGAGGTCAGGAGTTTGAGACCAGTCTGGCCAACATGACGAAACCTGGTCTCTACTAAAAATACAAAGATTAGCTGGGCGTGTGGTGGTGGGCACCTGTAATCCCAGCTACTCAGGAGGCTGAGGCATGAGAACAGCTTGAACCTGGAAGGCGGAGGTTGCAGTGAGCCAAGATCACACCACTGCACTCCAGCCTGGGCGATACAGCGAGACTCAGTCTCAAAAGAAAAAAAAAAACAAAAAAACCTCTTTTTTTTCAGTTTAAATTAACCAGCACACAATTATTAAAAGAAATTGTTCAGAACTTTAAAGCATACATTTCATTTATCACCCTTAATCTTCACTTCATCTTCTTTCCTATGCTCCCTTTCCTTTTGCCTTAGCTTGTTTTTCTTCTCTTAATTTCATTTTAATGCATATACTTCTATAAGTCCCCTAAACCCTCTCTGTAATACGATGGGATATTTTTAAAAATCCCTAAAATCCCTTAATGTTGTGATTACTTCTTAATGTTGTGATTATTTATTTATAATGTTGGATTATTATCCAAGACCCCACAGTTACAAGGTTGTAAGTGGAAGAAAAAGGTGTGACAATAACTGCCTAGAAAATCATTTCTTTTTTTTTGAGACCGACTCTCGCTCAGTCGCCCAGGATGGAGTGCACTGGCGTGATCTTGGCTCACTGCAAGCTCCGCCTCCCGGGTTCATGACATTCTCCTGCCTCAGCCTCCCAAGTAGCTGGGACTACAGGCGCCCGCCACCACGCCAGGCGAATTTTTTGCATTTTTAGTAGAGACGGGGTTTCACCGTGTTAGCCAGGATGGTCTCGATATCCTGACCTTGTGATCCACCCGCCTTGGCCTCCCAAAGTGCTGGGATACAGGTGTGAGCCACTACACCCGGCTAGAAAATCATTTCTAAAGAGTTCAGGGCAGCCAGGTGCAGTGGCTCACGACTATAATCCCAGCACTTTGGGAGGCTGAGGTTGGCAAATCACTTGAGTCCAGGAGTTCGAGATCAGCTTGGACAACATAGGAAGACTTCATCTCTACAAAAAATTTTAAAAATTAGCCAGGCATGGTAGTGCACACCTGTAGCCTTAGCTATTCAGGAAACTGAGGTGGGAGGATCACTTGAGCCTGGAGGCAGAGGTTGCAGTGAGCCAAGATCGTGCCTCTGTACCCTAGCCTGGGCGACAGAGTGAGACCCCGTCTCAACAAACAAACAAACAAACAAACAAACACACAAACCAAGAAAGAGTTTAGGGCACTTTGATTCAGTGTAGGGTTTGTGATACAGGGAGTATGTATGTGAATGTGCATATACATGTATAAAACACTACTAAAAGGACTACAAACCCATCCTGTCTCTCTATTGACTACAGATTTCTGAAATTAATTTTCCTGGTAAAAATAAATTGAGTGGGGCCGGGCATGGTGGCTCACACCCGTAATCCCAGCACTTTGGCAGGCCGAGGGGGGTGGATCACAAGGTCAAGAGATCAAGACCATCCTGGCCAACATGGTGAAACCTTGTCTGTACTAAAAATACAAAAATTAGCTGGGCGTGGTGGCAGGCCCCTATAATCCCAGCTACTCGGAAGGCTGAGGCAGGAGAATCGCTTGAACCCAAGGAGGTGGAGGCTGCAGTGAGCCAAGATCGTGCCACTGCACTCCAGCCCGGGCGACAAAAGTGAGACTCCATCTCAAAATAAATAAATAAATGAATTTTGTGTTTGCTCATGCAAATAAAAAGTCTAAATGAACAAAATCTCAAGTGACACAAGGAAGTCAATGTGGAGTGGAAATATTCAATATTGACTTTTTCTACTCAGATCTAACCTAAAAGCACAACTCTGACAGTTGAGAAAATTGTAAGACAGTGTTTGACTAAGTATGACATTAATGAATCATCTGCATTCTGCAACTGCCTAGAATCAGCAAGGCCATCATTTCCTTTTGCTACGCTTAGAGTAGGCATTAGATTAGATTTAGCTTAAACTCTGAAGACAGCTACGAAAATTCCTATGACTTCCTATAAACCAGAGGAAGGCTTTTTGTCTCCTCTTTTTGTATGCACAAATAACACAGAAGGCACACATCTAACCAGAAGGTTCTAATGATTTCATTAGGATAGAAAGCTGATTAAGAAAAAAATAATCCATAGTGCAAGAAAAATAAATACAATATTTACGTCCTGTAGCTACTGGTTGAATATCTGTATAACATAGAGAATGACAAGATCCAAGCTACTCATAGCTCACTTAGACGAACAATCCTTGGCATAATAAAATTCCAAAAAAGAAAATAATTTGGACACTTCCCTGGAGTTGACAGTAATAGGCTTTGAATTATATAAAATATTACAGTCATTAAATTATATGCAAGGAAGGAAAACAGTCTGAGTAATCCTTTAAACTTGAAACTGTCTCCCTCTGTTTTGATTGTGCCATTCTGAAATACAGTCGTTAGACAAAAATCACCTGTAATGATGGAGAAAAGCAGAGGTGTGAAGAGCTCCAAAGGCCAGGTGTTCTGCTGCCAGGCCCGTGTGTCGGCACCCTGCTTTGGTCACTACCAAGAACTAACACATGTTGCTAGGTGCTTTATCATATTATCTAATTAAATGCTCTCCATAGTTCAAAGAGGTGGGAAGTATTGTTGTAATTTCACATGTGAAAAAACTGAGGCTGAGAGAACAGAAAATACTGCCTAGGTTCACACAATTAGAGGTAAAACCAAGATCTGAACACAGGTTTGCCTGTCACCAGAGTCTAGGCTGTTTCTGCTGATATATGTTACCTCCCTGAGAGCAGGGGGATCTTTAATCATGAAAGACTACAGGGATGGAAAGAAACAGCGGATCTGGCTATCAGTGAGCCAGGCCAGCATCCCAGTATGATGAGGGGCTCCTAGAGCCTTCAGACCGTCACCAAAGTAGACACTGTGATGTATGGCTCATCTTCATTTACAATTTCCCACACAGCAGCAAGGCAGGATCTCCTCTTAATTTTGTTAATATCTCAGTACTCTCCCAACCCAACCATCAAACAATCAGATTCATTTGATCTTAAATGTGACGGACTAGCCACTCTGGCAGGTCTGATTCTGAATGATTTGGTTGGCTGTCCGGGGTGAGCCTCAACAAGTGTAAAGCACTTTAGGCACTATGAAAGATAGTTTTAACTGAGAGTTTATTTTTTAAAGGACGTCATTTCACCCTTTATTTAACTCAGTAGTTTCTTAGCTTGTAAGGGTCCAAAATCTACATCCAGTGTCACACACTGATAAGTGCTGCTGATTCATGTATAAATATCCGCCTCATGGGTAAATATTTAACAGGCTTGCTATAGCCTGAATGCTGCCCTGATCATGCTGAATAAACTAAGTCAAGTGCCATGAAATAAAGGGTCATTATGTTTTTAGAGGGTGCAAGATGGTGGTAAGGTCTTGTGATCTCTAATTCTTTAATATTCATGAATCAAAAAATATTGGGCTGAGCATGTACAACAGGAAACTCACCCTGTGCAGAGACTCCAGGGCTCACTCAAGACATTCCCAGGACTGCAGGGCTGGCTGAAGAGAAGGCAGGGCCTGACTAACCCACTAAGTGGCTGGGGAAGAATTATGAGGAGATGAAAAGGACCACTTGGCATTGATACTCCTGACCTGCAGAGTGGCGTGGTGAGGAAGCAGGGTGAGAAGGAAATCGGTGTAGCAGGGGCTCAGGCTTCACTTGGGAGGCGAAAAGGATGAAAAGGGCTGTTCTGATGAGAGGGTACCTTCTATCTCTTCATGGAATACAATAAAACATGAAATTAGTTGATAATTCTTAGAACTGAAACTTAATCTGTGGATATAAATTAGAAGGACGAGGCCAGAGTTTTAAAATCTTTTCCAAAGGTAGGGGTAATTAAATAGGCCAAAATGAAACCAGAAAAGCATTTCCAGGGTAGTCTTCTTGGCTCTAAAACTTAAATGTAAGAACTGTCTATATGGAATGTATTAATACTAGTCTTTTCCATGCAAATGAAACTCATAGAGTCCTTTGTGAACTTCGGTCTGTCTGCAAATTATCACATCTCTAATATAGTCATGACCCACACACAACATTTCAGTTAATGACGGACCCCCTATGTGACAGTTGTCCCATAAGATTACAATACCGTATGCTTACTGTTCCTTTCCTATGTTTAGATACGTTTAGATACACAAATACTTACCATTGTGTTACAATTACCTATAGGATTAAGTACAGGAACATGCTGTGTACGCCTGTAGCCCAGAAGCAATAGGCTCACCAGATAGCCTAGGCGTGTAGTAGGCTGTCTATCTAGGTTTGGGTTGGTACATTCTATGATGTTTGCACAATG